ATCCACAATTCAGGGGTTTGTTTACATTCCGCTAAACCACCATCTTGTCGCTTAAGGCCAGTTCGTTTGCACGTTAGTACGTTCCTAGGTTAAGACTTTGTATGTAGGACGTACTAACGCACCACTGCGATTTTTCGTGTTCGGCTCAAAAACCTTATTTTTCATGTACACCCTGCAACTACCTGCACTTACCCCAAATCCTCGATCTAACCAATAAGAAGGCTAGAATCTTCGAAATCCTTAACCGCAGTCCTTAACGTACTACGTCTCGATTTTGAGAGGTAGTACGTTAAGAACTATAATTAAGGCAAGCCCAGGCTTAAGGCCCAGGCTCAACCCCCTATAAATATAGTGCATGGCCGTCGCAAAGATAATTGATGAGACTATTTCTAATACGATAAGAAGGATAGTGACGATAAGAAGGATAGCGATGATAAGAAGGATGGTAATGATAAGAATAGAAGGATGGTGATAATAAGAAAGATGATGGAGATGATGATGAAAAGGATCGTGGTGATGATGAAAAGGATGAAGAAAGAGAAAGAAAGAGAAAAAGAGGAAAGGTAGAAAGGAGGAGAGCCCCCGATGTTAAGCACCACTTTCCATCTTGCAGCCAAAGTCTTGGCCTACCTTAACGCTGCCTTAATGTTGCAGGATTGCAGCTGCGAACCCTGCACGTTAACACGTTTATTTTTTAAAATCCCTAACGCGGACCCGAACTGGCCTTTACAGTGCTTGCTACAGCGCACCAAAGGAAATGGGTCCACTCACCTGGCAGGGATGCCCCTTTTCTGCCAACACCTTTATCTTGACGACGTCCAGGCTCGACCTACAAGCATGTGCACCGCCGTGCGACACCATTTCCGGTTTCACAAGAACCCGAACCCCCAAAACCCTGCAGTTTAGCGACAGAACTGAATCGTGCGCTAAACCTTAAGCTTATCTGAACGAATGGGCGTCGAAACGGACAGGGGTGGCAGCTTGCATACCGAGATCAGGTTCCGATCAATACTGCAACCCAATGTCTTTCCAAAACTGAGTTCGTGGCGCGAGTCGAAATGTTGGAAATGCTGGTGCCTGATTGTGGAATTCCCAGTTCCGACGGTGAGGCTCTTTGGGATTGACGGAAATGGTGGAAGATGGAACCATCGGCTGAACCCCTGGGACGCCCTGAGTATAAGCCTATAAGGGAATCCGGTATTGTCAGCTGTGATCAGCAGCTAGTTAGGTATGTCTTGAACCCACTGCCGTCAGCACCAGTTCTCCCAAGAACACCAAGACCATCGTCGATGTGGAGGTGATGGGATGTTCAATTACTCAGTCCATGCATGGTGGCAGGGCGTCGGGGAAGACATTGGCCTATCACCGAACACGGGATTGAACCTCCTTGCAGGCAGTGGGCTTGGTCTTCGACGAGGACACCGGTACTTGGTCCGATGTAAGCACAATTGCCTGCACCCGTCTTCAGTAGAATCTCCATAATGGGATCAAATAGTCGGTGAGTGGCTGAATGTAATTTTGGCTTAAGACCTGGCAAATCCCATTGTAGTTGAGGCCGATCTGATTTGGAGGAAAATGCCACCCTCTGCTTCTGCAACACCACAACTCCAAGATGGTGATCAAGCAACTCGTGGCCGCTGTGGCCCTTCTTGGGCAAAGTGTGGTCGCTGCCCCGTCCCTAGATATCTCTGCCTCGGTCTCCTTAAACTGGACGAACACTGCAAGCGTTTCAGACCGACCGACCAAGTTCTGGTACTCCAGCATCGACCACAACACTCGACTTGTCCGCGGCTTTGCCCCCGACCTTGACGGGGATTTGGACTACGATGTCTTCAAGGCAGTAAGGCCCGGTGAAGGCGCAAGCATCCAAGCAGCGATCAACTCGGGGACGAACGGCGCAAAGAGACATGGCCTATGGTTTGCTTCCCAGCCACGAGTAAGCAGCCCATGTGACTCTAACTTGATCTGAGAGAAGGCTGACAGAAGAGCTTTACAGGTTGTGTACATACCGCCGGGAACGTACGAGATCTCCGAGACCATCTTCATGAACACTGACACAATTCTGATGGGCGACGCAACCGACGTAAGGAAGATAACTTTCTCCCACTTGAGCAGAAGTGACCAGATGCTGATTAGGCTGTCTACTCCTAGCGACCCGTCATCAAAGCGTCTTCGAGCTTCTCCGGCGACCAAACGTTAATATCCGGCCAAGATCCCGCAACCGGTGGCTCTGGAGAGCTCTCCTTTGCTGTCAGCTTGAAGAACCTGATCCTCGACACGACCAGTATCCCAGGAGGCCAAGCATTCACAGCATTATGGTGGGGTGTTGCTCAAGGAGCCCAGTGGCAGAATGTGAAAATCCGCATGGCACCAGCAATCGGTGGCAAGGGACACAGCGGTATTCGGCTCGGTCGCGGCTCGACTCTCGGGATCTCGGATGTTCGTATCGAAAACGGGCAAAACGGCATCTGGTACAACGGCCATCAGCAAGCTGTCTTTAAGAGCATATACTTCTACCAGAATGCTGTAGGTATGCTCATCGACGGTGGTGCCACTATCAGCCTCGTCAACCCAACTTTTGACGGCTGTGGCATGGGCGTCTACCACGTCAGCGGCAACCCTTGGATCGGCCTAATCGATGCCACGTCTATCAACTCCGGCACAACATTGAAGACAACGAACTGGCCCAACTATCTGGTTGAGAATTTGCGTGTCATTGGCGGTAGGAGTAAGAACACGGTCGAAGGACCCGGTGAGTTTGTTCTCGGATCCAGATCGTACGTGGCACAGCTCTCGTACGGCAACACTGTCGGTCGAAATCCCATCTACGGCCCGGTTGAAACGGCACATTTGAACCGCCCGTCTGCATTGACCGCGGGACCGGATGGTGGGTATCCCTACCTCCCAGCACCCAACTACGCCGACCTCAGCATCCGAGACTTCCTCAACATCAAAGACCCTCTCCAGAATGGAGGCTACCTCGTCTTGGGCGACAACACCCAGGACGAGTCCTCCACTATCAACGCAATTCTCCGTCTCGCCGCTCGCCAAAACAAGGTAGCTTAATTCCCCTTCGGCAAGTACCGCGTCGACTCGACCCTCTCCGTTCCCTCCGGCTCTCGTATCGTCGGCGAGGCATGGGCCACCATCACTGGCTACGGCCCCTTCTTCAAGGACAGCACCCGTCCTCAACCGATCATCAAATTCGGCAATCCTGGCGAGGTCGGTACCGCCCACATCCAAGATATGCGCTTCACTGTATCGGACGTGCTTCCCGGAGCCATCATCGTGCAGTTCAACCTCGCCGGCAGCAAACCAGGGGACGTGGCAATGTGGAATTCTCTAGTCACAGTCGGCGGAACTCGGGGAGCGAAGGCTTTGACAGACAAATGCGTCAACCCCAAAACCGATGCGCCATGCAAGGCCGCGTTCTTGGGAATCCATCTCGCTTCAACGTCGTCGGTTGTCACACGGACATTTGACCTCAACCCTGACCCTACAACGAGAGGCTCGCGGAGCCGCACATCTCTCAGCCTCGCGCAAATGCTTCAGGTATCTACGCCAGCTCAGACAGAGAGTCTGTTCAGCCGACAGCACGGCTTAGACCCAAGCCTTGCTATACGGCTGAATGCCTCAGGCAACTAGGCCATACTCACCCTCGACGCTTGGCATCAGCCTCGAGATGGCCGGAGGCCTCCGGCCGCAACACCCACCTCGGCCGGACTTTTGGCCACCGGTACTGCTTACCCGAACCTCCCTCGATGCCACCGGGCTAGAGAGCCAACCACGGAAGTGCCGAAGACACTGAAAGATCACCACAAGACAATCCTAGTCATCCTAGGAACAACCATAGCCAACCAAGCAAGGAGCAGGGTGCCCGGATGAAGGACGGCGCTAGATGGAAGATAGGGAATGGATGAAGGCATTCCGAAAGATCCACATGTACACAGACTGCTAGACAAATGCCTTGAAGCCTCAGGTGACAAGGCTCGATACGTACCTCAAGTACGTACCGATTCCTTTTGGCATAAGAAGGCCTGGAAGCCCGGCCTTCTCATGGAGGTTAAGAGGGATCAACAAGGCCTTCGAGACCAAAGTAGTTTATTAGCTGAATTTGAACTACTGTTCCAAGCCCTGATCACAGCCCTTGTCACATTCGGTGTATCTCGAGAACGTCTGGAACTGGGTAGCCGACCACATCGCCGAAGAACCTCTTTCGCCGGGAGGGAGCAACATTGCGGGCAAAGGCGGGGTGCTGGTCGAAGCTACCAAGGGAACGTGGCTACACGCCCTAGGCGCGGAACATTGGTGGCTGTACCAGCTCAATCTGCGGAAGGCATCGAACGTGTTAGTGACCATGTTGCAAAGCGAGACCAACTACGACCAGGGCGACAACGCGGTGCAAGTGGTGCCTCACCCATGGACGCCGGACGTGGAAGGGTGGGGTGATCCGGACTTTACCTGGTGCGAGGGACAGGAGAACGAGAAGAGGTGTCGGATGGGGTTTGCGAACTACATCAATGGCGGGAGGGACATTCGGACCTATGCCACTGCCTCGTGGGCGTTTTTCAGCGGGCCGGGGTATCAAAGTTGTGCGGGACAGAATCAGTGCCAGAGGTATATGCATTGGGTGGAAAAGACCCCGGCCAACTTGCAGGCGTTTTGGTTGTGCTCGAAGGATACGTGGGCGACGTTGAGGTTGGAGGATGGAACTGACATCGTGACGAAGGAGGGGTTTACCGGGTCATGGTCTGGTTCGGGAGGCGATGTTGGCAGGTACACTCCGGAGGCATTGTAACAAGCCGAACATGCCGAGGAGTCGAGGACGGGAAGTAACAGCTTTGGTCTCGTTGTGAGAGGTACTGGCTGTCCTGTGTATAGCTGGTGGCAGTAGTGCTACATGCACACCCACGTGACACCTGGGCTGCACTGGCCCTTTGTGATTGGGGTTTATAAGGAAAGTGCACATGGTAGTAACCTAACCAAAAATATAGAAGCATGGCCGAGTGGTGTGAGTGTTGGCAAACACGTACCGTGGTGTGTTGCGCGTAGGGGGGAGATGCGGGAGGCGGCCCTGTAGCCAGGTTGAAAACCTGCTAAGGACGCTGGCTTGTAGTGCGCTACAGAGCTGCTACCTGCTATCACTCGGACCCAAATGTCGTAGCGTATCGGTAAGGTCCCCGGTTCGACTCCGGGCTCGGCCACTTCCTTCTCTTTTTTTTTCCTTGAAGCTCACTCAAACAAACCAAGTGCAAACAAAGGAAGGCGCCAATGAACCTTTCGTCCACCCAGTCGTTCTTTCCCCACTCCTTGTTTTCATGTTCATGTTCGTTCATGCTTCCGGTCCCTCTTGTTTTGCCGTTTTCTTGTTGTGTGCAATCCTGTCGCCGTCACGCTCGTTCTCAGTGCTGGGCAATCATTGGAAGCCATTGTGTTTTGTTTTGTTGTTTGGCTTCTGCTCTCCTACCATGGCAACCCAAGCCCCCAAGCTCGGTCTGTCTGGCGCGAAAATTCGGAGGAAGAGAAGGGCCGGCGAAGACGCGAACGACAAACTTGCCGAAGACACGACACAGGTGCCCAAGCGAGTGAGAACCACAGGTAAGTTGCAACATGAGCTTCTATTTTCGGTAATTCGAAGCTGACTTCTATGGCCATGGGCAGACTTGGCTTCCTTTTGCGGCCGTGTTGTTATCGCTCCCTCGATCCACGAAGCACGCGGTTTCGCCCTACAGGCAATGAAATTCGTGTCGACCAGTGAAAACATGCAGCTGGCATTGTGGTGTGACGGCTCGCACAAGACTCAAAATGATAGTGGCGGCTTTGCTGTCGTCCATAACCGACTCAAAAAGGGATCGCCCAAAGACCAAGGACACGTGGGGAGGGGATGGCCGGCTACTCCCACGCCTTCCAACATGTTTACCGAAGCCCTTGCCCTCGCTCAAGCCATTGTTCAGGTGATGGCCGAGCTGAAGAAGCTGGAGGAAAACCTCCCGAACCCCCCTTGCCATGGCGCCAACATCTGCGTCATAATTTTCTCCGATTGCATGCCCCTACTCAAGAACGTCACCAGGTCGACTTATTCGGCGAGTTATGAGTCGGCCGGAAAGTCAATTGTTGAGAAGTCGCAAGAATTCTAACAAAACTTTCGGAACCTCTTCGGCCGGCCGGATCTTCTCGTGGACTTGGCGGTGCACTGGGTGCCGGGGCACGATAAGAGCCTCGTGTTACACGAGCAGGCTGACAAGCTTGCAGGAAAAGCACGGGTGTTGGGAAAACCGGTGCTCCAGATCAACGGCGAGGGGCATCCATAGGATGGAGCCGCGAGCGTTTTTGCGGGGTCTGAACCGGACGGGCGGCTGACGGGGGACGAAGTGGTCGAAACAGAAACAGAACCAAGGGAGGAGGGCACTAGCCAGAAAAGGGCAAAAAAGAAGGGAAAGAAGAAGGGTAAGAAGAGAGGAAAGAAGGGCAAGAAAAAGAAAAAGGGAGACAAGAAGAGTGGTAAGAATGAGAAGGAGAAGGAGGAGAAAAACCTCGAAAACAAGAAGAAAGAGAAGGAGAAAGATGAAAAGAATGAGAACGAGAAGGGAAAGGACGTGGATGACGAGAAGGACGACGAGAAGGACGACGAGAAGGACGACGAGAAGGACGATCAGAAGGTCGATGAGAAGGACGATGAGAAGGAAAAAGAAGAAGAGAATCAGGGCGAAAGCCGCGTCACCGATTATGCGAAGGCCGATGGAGAGCAACCTGAACCTACCTGGCCGATCCCTTCATATCATTCGCAACTCCAAAGGGAGGAGGCAAGGCGGCAATATGTCCCAGAGGATGGGGCCTATTTTCCCGACAGAAGGGGTTCAAGACAATCACCAACCCCCTACCACCAACAATGGCTGCACCAGGTGCAGCAAAACCATGACCCTTTTTTCTGGGATCGGCAAGGTGGCTTCGGCCATCATCAGCTTGCGGGGCACTGGCGGTGGGACCACGCTTCGTATCATTACATATGGGAATGGGACCAATGGGTGGACTTCGACCCTCGCTGGCACTATTCACAGTATCACAATGGGTGGGCCTGGCCCAACAGCTTTTACTGGCCAGGATCTGGATGGATGTAGGTTTGGGAGGCGAGCGGCCTGGGAAGTGGAATGCGTTGTTACCTAGTAGTATTTTTATCTCGTTTTCGGTTTTGGGGCGGGGGGCTAAAATTCGAGACTAATCCTATTATATCCTTGCGTCATCAGCCCAACTTCAATCCCATCTTCTTACCGGCGCGATCTTGATTTCATCCAAAGTTGCGAACAGCGCTGGAACGAGTTGCAACAAATGTGGGAACGATTTGCGCGGTGTAGTCGACGGAGGGTCATCCCATATAACAGGCAATCTTGGAATGAGGAGAACGGCATCCGGAAAGCGCAATAGAGAGTTTGTAGAGATTGGATGACGGAATGACGAGACCCTCTTCGACACAGAAAGAGAAGGAGCTGGCCGGGCAAGCCTGGAGTCAAACCGGGACCCCACCACTTGGTTAAAACCGGTCGGAGGTTGGTTACTTAAGCGGTAGCACAATTACAGCGCAATACCAATCAGCAATCATGTACCCGATGGTGAGTTGGTCAGTGCGTGGCCTCCGGCTGTGTGTTTCCCAAACTTGAATACCCGTTGGGGAGGCAAGTGCCTTGTCTGTTCCCCAACTTTGAAGCTGCTAGATATCATCTCAGTTTAACAAAGTAGCGGAGATGATTCTTGAGAATACATGCTGCAAGCTGTAAACCCAGATGAATGGAACTAAGTCACTTCTCCGGCACGCCTGGTCCTCTTGAGGGTGAGCGGGAAGGACCAAGAGGCTTTAGTGAGCTTCGCTCGAACACTCCCCTAATGTTAGGAAAGCACTAGCAATGGATCCTTGTTATACCCCAAAATATGCATCTACATCGCTTCAATTCCTCAAGGGCCGGAATGGCGCGCAGGCAGCCCAGTTGCAACCAGCTGCTAATGTTCGCCAACCCTGGCAAGGGCTATGCACGCACAAGTGATATTAGCTGCACCAACCCTCTTGAGAGGACACATCACCCCCAAGGGAGAAATCTGGCAAGTACGTTGGAATTAGGAGATATAGAAATCCCATGAAGCGATGCGCCTTCCAGGTTGTTAGGCAGAAAATAGCTCCTTCCCCAATTACTGACAACACCTTCTTGCTATGTTTCCAGTGCAGCTGCCCGGTCAGACTTGCTCATGTCATAATACAAGCATGCAATTTTCCCTCGCTTCTTGACAGAAGAGGTCCCCAACATCGTCTCCCTGTTTCTCTTCCTCGCTTCATTCTCTTCCTTGTGTTTCCGGTACCGTCTTGATTTGTACCAGCATCTCTTCATTCCACCCACTTCACGCGCAAACCCTTCGCTCTTCTCTGTTCGTATAGCCGCCCTGCCACCATTTTCCCACGCTACTGCCCCTGAATTGCACCCGTTGCTGATAATATTCTCTTGGTTTCTTTCCCCTTACCTCGATTCTTGCTGATGATCTCAACCGCTGGTCCAGGTCCGAGAGAAGCAAGAGGAGGGCCATCGATGATTGGAGTGATGAGACGTTGGTGGAAGCAGCTGCACCGCCGAAACGAGTTCGAACACGAGGTAAGATATTTTCGCAATCCACAAATGCCCTTCTGTTTTCCAGTTTTCACCTATGTGTGACAAGGGCAGTAATCTGGGCTTGGAACAGTAGTTCAATTCAGCTAATAAACTACTTTGGTCTCGAAGGCCTTGTTGATCCCTTCAACCTTCAAACAAAGGCTAGGCTTCAAGGCCTTCTTATACCAAAGAGGCTTGGTACGTACTGAGGCACGCACCGAGCCTTGTTGCCTAATGCCTCAAGGTATCTATCTGGCGGTCTTCATACATATGGACCTTCCTGAGTGCTTTCAACCATTCTCCTTCTTCCTTCTGGCGCCGGCCTTCGTTCGGTCGCCCTCATGATGATGCTCATGTCACAGGGTTAGACCTCTGTGACTGTCGTACGTGATTGCTGTCATGGCTCACCACCATGTACTATTCACATGCTTGTGCAGGCTGCAGCTGCTTCAGAAGCAGCTACAGCGGCACTTATAAGGCTGACGTCAAGCGTTGAGGTTCTGTTAGCCTTGGAAACCCTAACCTAGAACTGTAGGCAAATGTCCGTGTGACATATGCGTAACCTGACTGAGACATATGGTTCCGAGCAGAATTTGGACCCTTTTGTGGCACGGTGCATGTCGCTGCGACGAGGGAGCAGGCTTTGAAAACGGCGCTCGAAATCCAAAGCTTTACCGGAAATGTCTCAACCATCCAACTAGCACTATGGTGTGACGGATCCCACGAAATGCGAGACAACACGGGAGGTTATGCGGTGGTTGGAAAACGCCCACCATCAAAAAATAAGCGCGAGGAAGTTGTTGCACGGGGCTGGCCTCCAACCCATATTGAGAGCAGCACTGTCGCAGAAGCATTGGCAATCGCCCAGTCAATTATTGAAGACATGGAGCATCTTACCAAGTTTGACCAAGATATTGCCACCGAGAAGAACAAAGGCAAACCGAGCGCAGTACGGGTTTCGCTCAAGATCTTGTCCGACTGTCGCGGCCTTGTTGATTCAATAAGGAGAGGGAATTTCACGAAGCCGTTCCGAATGGTAGGCCTCGAAATCCTGAAACAAGCCGAAAGATTCGAGGAAACATTCCGGAGATTGTCCCAACAGCCCGAGCGCCACATTATTGTGGATAAGTTGGCTCTGCATTGGGTCCCTGGGCATGAGCCCGGTCTCACTCTGCACCAACAGGCAAATACACTTGCCATAGGATGGGGCGTAGTCTGTTTTTGAAGAGCTCGAAGTACGATGGTAGAACCAACATGAAGAGAAGTAGCGACTACATGAAATCGCATTTTGTCCATACATAATGACCATCAGAAGCCGGGGATATTAGTTCATGTCGAGATCTGATGATCTTCCGTATAGAGACAACGACGTTATTCAATGGACAAAAAGCTTAGTGGAAAGGGAGATACGAAGGACGATATGTATCACGGGGCGAAGGTACTGTAGGGGGTATAATGAGATATGCGTTGTTGCATGAGGAGAGGAAGGAGGAGGAAGCGTGCGCGGAGGTTTGACTATATAGGCGAGAGCCCTATAGACTAGACCGTACGCGGGCACGTAAAACTGTACATAA